GGTAAAAACTTGTTTCTAATTTTCCCCTTTTTGTCCCTTGCAGAGGCTGTAGTCTCTGTGACACGCTGGCACATGCAGACACCTCTCAAGGGCTTCTTTACTTGACATCATTTCAATTGCTGCCAAAATAACAAGAAAAGCAATACTTGTTAGTCATATCACCAAAAACCAATACAAGATTAAGAAAAGTATTACTTGTCATTCCAATAAAGTTATTTACCTTCTGTCATGTCCCTGTGGTCTGCAATATATAGGCAAATCCAGCTGGCCACTCAGAACCAGAATCACTGAACACAGGAGCTTTATTCACAGAGCAGATCCAAGATCCCCTGTAGCGAGACACTTCCAGGAGGCCAAACATCCAGCGACTGCACTCAGTTTCTGCAGCATTGATGTGGTTAACCCTCACCACAGACAAACAGATCTGGAAACTAAACTCCTGCAGTGTGAAGTAGATGGATCTTTCTTCTTCAAACTGAACAGCCTGTCGGCCTGAATGAAACACTTAATTTGTCCTGCTTTTTATAGACATCTGCATGTAGCGTGGCCCCTTATGGATATGCTTTGTCATATTTGTCCTTTCTTTTCTGTCACTGTGTGTATTATTGTGTTTTTTGTACATTTGTATGTTCTTATCTTCTGCGATCATAAATTAGTCTTTGAGGATGTTGTAGATAGGGTAGTACTTGTATGACAGGTCATTGTGATTTGATACACATGCTCCTGCTCCTCAGAGTTGATCTCATCTAACTAGTGGCAACAGCGGATTGATTTGTCACACCTGGTGGTAATCTGTCACTCATGTCAGTGATGACCAGATGATGCTCAGCTGTCAGGTGGATGCACCACATGCTGAATAAAGACCACTGATGGCCATTTTCGTACCGTGAATATCACACAAAACAACAAGATCCTGTTTTGTTCATGCTCTCAATAAGTGAAAGGAAAATATTGTAATTCTTCTTAGTGAGAAAAAATATTTCATTTCTTGTTATGTTGTTTCAATATTTATGGATTTCACATATTATCACAATCATATCACATTTGATTTAGGCCTATTTGACTCTTGGTAGATGACCTGGTGCTCTCTGTACTCAACTCCAGATGTGACTGTATGCTTTGTACATGGACTGTAAATAAATATAAAGTCTGAGGTTTTGTAAATTGTATTAGTGAATTGTAAAGTTGTCAGATTTGGAATTTCATGTGAAATTTTTCAGGTACATTTTCAACATACTACATGAATATAACAATAATTATCACCATATGACATCAAGCACGAGTTTAACACTAAAATCTGTCAAAAAACACAAATTCTACTGGGGACCCACTGAATGTCCCTGGGCCACATATACAGTATTTACACACTTAAGTGGACTCAGAGTCATGACTCAGCATTTTCTGCACATATGTGAAGACTCCAAGGGAACTCAGACCCCTCTGAACCGAACCGTACTCAGACCCCTCAGGAGGTGGTCTGAGTCCCACTGACTGATGTAGGGGAAATACCTTTTTGAGAATGTCTGCACTCGTAATGAAGTTTGGGGCACCACCCTCCTAATGAGGGAAGCTACTAATCAATTTAATATCTCCTTAAACCAATTATTAATTTGTCAGCATGCTTATTAATAATGAATCATTCTCATTATCTGGGTTATGAATTCTCCATACAGTGATCTTTGCTCCTGCTCAAAAGAAATATACACAGACAATGACTTAGCAATAAATGAAGATTTATTTAAGCTAAATGGGTAACAACTGAATAAATGAATGAGGATAATATGAAATAACACAAAATCATCAGTATGTATAAATGGATTAACTAACTAAAATGCAAATGCGAAAGAGGCTAAGATACGAAAAAGAAGAAACAAAAAGTAAAAAAAAAAAACAAGAAGAGAGAAGAGGCAAAAAAGAAAAGATCAAAGAGTACCAGAGAACAAGAGAGAGAGTGCACGTTTTTAACCGGCCAAAGTGGGCGGGTCTGATAAGGCAGTCTTTTTAGTTGTAAAACAGGCTTATTACTTTATTTAAAAAGAAACTTAATGCTTTTTATTATACGAGATCATATACTTTGACATGTTAGGCACGATAGGCACATACTCTTCTCATTATGGTCAAAATCGGTTCTTAACATCCAGTTAAAATGAATACAATTGAAAACAACCTATAGTCATATAATGAAAAACAAAATGAGGAAGCACATATTCATGCAAACAAGTTGATTAATGAACCCCAATTATATTTCTATAACTCCAAACACAAAATATGGATAAAATGTATAATTTCACTTCCAACAGACATTTCAATTTAGTCACACAGAAACATTTGGTAAGAGAGTGGAGGGCTTGATTTCCCCGGGGCAACGCGAATGGACAGGATTTGGTTGAGAGAAAAAGCATTGTCTCACGACAACTAGTGGGTCGTTCATCACCGCATTTTGCCCCAAGGCTGGATGCTTTAAGATGGTATCTGAAACTTGATCCCAAGTGACTTTTTACCTCCTTTTGGCCTAAGGATGGCTGAAAGAAGTTTTTGTCCAGTTGGGGGTAATACAGGGGTGAGTCCTAAACATTTGACCCCTGGTGGTCTTGTGGGTCTTGTTCATTGATAATACTGGTTCAAGGGAAGTCCAGAGAGGCTGTTCCTCTACACTGATCACCATTTCCTCATATCTTTTCCTCCAATGTTAAATGTGTGGGACTGACGCCAGGCAAGGAGTGAGTAGAACAAAGTTTCTCATGTCTTTGGGGCACTACAGTTTAGTTACACACATGTAATAGGTGCTGTTCTACCCTGCCTGCAGGGTTTTTATTGCAGCAAGAATGAGGTTAACAGAATCCCAAGAAAACAGTCTTTTCTCTCTGTTGAGCTCAGAGGGAAGCAACCGGATAAACCATGCCATGTCACTGCCAGAGAAGTACACACCTCATTCAGCTAAAAACTGCCAGGAAAGTTTAACAAATGGATTGGAATAATTTACATTTACAGTTTTAGTCCAGACAATATAAAATGAGAGATGTCAGGTTCCCTATAACAAGGTTACACTTGTTCAACTCATTGGCGACAGGCCTTTAAGGAGTGATTAATATCAGTTATTATACCTTTCAGACAGCTGTTATCCAGTGCAGATCTGAAGAGAACAGAAAGGGCTTTTTTTTAATTTGAGATAGCTTTGTCTAGTTTGTCCACTCATTAAGTCAAAGATCTGCACCACCAAGGTGGAAACATGTCTACTGATCTGGCAGTTCATTTAAAATATGCAGATACAGCACACAAAACTGACAGTATGACCAGGACATAAACACACCAAAAGATTAAAACGATTCTTTAAGAGGTGAACAAAGCAATTTCCTGGCTGGACTTCTTGTATATGTTCTTTGTTCCACATTATCACTGAATGTGGCATCTGTTTTTCTTTTCAGCCTGTTTACGCTTTGTTTCTTCAAGTTCTTGTTTCAGTTTTTTGATTTCTATCTGCAATTGGAAGAGATTTTGCTCATCAGCTTGTTTAGCTCTTTGTTCCATTTCAGAAAGTCGTGCTTCCAGTTTTGTTTCCAGCTGTTGCATTTCTTTTTGTTGTCTCTCGGTGATACTCTGTGACTGTCTCTGTTCCTTTTTCATCACTTGCTCTACTTCCTTTTGAATTGTTTCCCTTGCCCACTGGAACATCTCAGTGGTGTAACAACCACCATTTTTCTTCACAATGGTGTCGATCTTAGTCAGTAGCTCCGTGACTTGTGTGTTGTCT